GTAGTTACTATAAAGTCATAGGAAAATGTAATTACTTTGTGAAATAACTTACTTTAGTTTCTTGACAAGAATGAGAGCTCTCTTTCTCTCTGGCTTGCATGCATTCACAGAAAATCAAACCACAGCTAGCTAACTTCAAAGACTGGGATCAGTGACGTTCTAAGTCTTGCCTGTTTGCAGTCTAAACATCTTCAACCAATTTACAATCTAGACATAACAACTACAAAAAATGTAATGTGTCATTTTTACACAATGTTTCTTGTATTCACTCTTCAGTGCATAGAAATAGAGAAAATAATAAAAAGCTCCACCATAAGTAGAAAATAGACAGCTGTGCTTCTGCAGCTCTCTTCTCTTCTCTTCTCTTCTGTCCTCCCAACTAGACAAGAATTACCTTATATAAATTGTCTTCATGGACTGGGCCATCTACATGTTACTGTAGGTGGCCTGTGCATTGAAGCTCCCAGTGCTCAAATTTTGTGCTGATGTGCAATTCAGATTCGTAGGTGTGCCCCAAGACTGGAGTCTAATTCTTTCTCAGACAACTTAAATATCTAGTAACTGTTCCAGTTCAGGCTTATGTTCTTGATTAACACAGAAGTTTGAATACATTTCATGACTCAGTCTCTCATTTCTGCATCTGAATAACACTGTAAAAATAATAATAATCATGCAGTGTCTGTGAAAATGTGCCAGTAGCCTCTTGACTGAGCAAGCATTTTGGATGCATGTGAGAAGCATTGTGTTAGGCCAGACCTGGCTGTTCTTGTTCCAGGACTATTATAAAATGATTTCATATGAAAGTAGGACAGTATGATATCTGCCAGCTACTGCTTGTTCTTGAGAAACGTCAGAAATCATCCAGCCTCTCTGAGGATGCACCCCTGCCTCCAGTGAAGGCCGACACCTGACGTTTTCTTATTAGGCCGTAGACTAATATGCAGAGGTCCTCACTCCAATGTTTAAGGCCACTGAAGAGGAGTCAAGTCGTTCTGTGTTATCTACTCCTTTTCTTGTGGGTGTGTTGTGTGCGTGTGGTACCTGTAAATCCAGTGTAATGATGTTATATAACCCACCCTTTACAAAAGAATATGTGGAAAGACATGATTGTGGCTTTGGCTTGACATGGGTCAGAATCTCTTGCTCTGACTCTGTGATGGGACTCATGGGAATCATATGTTTTTATCCTAGTGTGAGGGAATGAGTGTTGTGTGCCATCAGCTTCAGTAATCAAGTGTTTTGGGGTTCATCAAAGCGGTGAACAAGAGCAAATTAATTAAGTTGTGGCTTAAGTAGGGTTGTTTTGGGGTTGAGCTCTGTCGTTGCATGTTGTCATTTGTGTTGTAACTACATTTGTATGATTATAACACTAAACATAAAGATATTTCGAATTGAAATCAAATACCGCAGCTCCTTTGTTTGCTTCAGTTAGGCTTTCTTTGTTACAACCATAATTATTCTGACCAGCAGACAGCTACACTTACAGCCTTGAATGGTCACGTGTATTCTCGTTGTAGAAGCGCACAAAACTCGCACATTTCCAGGCGCATGTCATGGTGTGAGTAACTGAGCACTATTGAAATTCCGAGAAAAGAAAACAGTGGGCTATAAGTGATCAAGCTGTAACAGCGAGATGCTAAAAAAAACTGAATTCGAGTTCAACAAAGGGCTTGATTTTATTGCTTTTGTGGGAAACACTTGAAATTGGGTGGAAAATGTTCTTAGTAGCAAGCATCTGCATCATGATGAAAAGTTTTAAGACTTTCAGAGACTAGCAACAAGGTGGGAGAGTTGTATAACCAACCAAAAACCATAGTAACAAGAAAATGAATCATTTGCGTCTACATTGAACAGATTGTGACACATGGGTGAGCATACACACCTATGACTAGATAGACTGTCCTCCCTCTTGCGTGGGTTTTTGAGCACAGGCTTTCGGAGGTATTTACTCAGGTTTTTATGTCTTATATAATATCTTTTCTCTTTCTATTATGACCAGTCATTGCATTGACATGGTAATAAGATATAATCTATTACCACCTACATGAGATGTGAAGCAGTCTAAAGCATAAGTGCATCCAAAATAAAATTCAGAAAACGAAAATTAATGTCCAGCGAGGGCAGTGACTGAAAATGACTCTTATTGATTCTATGACCCTAAACATTAATTTCAATTGTTATTTAATATACAGTTATATTAATTTTAGATGTTACATAGAAAAAAATAATAAAGGAGGGTATTATTTAAGGCTGCCCTACTTTGTGATAAGTAAAGTTGCTAACATACAGTTTCTGTTTCTTGATCAGCTCTTGCCTTCTAGTTCAGGAAGCTACTGTTTCCTGCCAGGAAACAGGTCAAGCAAACTCCTTGTTGCTTCAAAATTATTACTATTCAATTGTTTTCTAATTATTTTTAGTCAAGGCAGCACGGTGGTTAGCACTGTTGCCGCACAGCAAGAAGGTCCTGAGTTCAATTCCACCATCAGGCCAGGGTTCTCCCCGTGTTTGCGTGGGTTCCCTCCGGGTACTCCGGCTTCCTCCCACCATCCAAAGACATGCAGCTTGTGGGGATAGGTTAATTGGATAATCCAAATTGCCACTAGGTGTGAATGTGGGAGTGAATGTGAGCGTGAATGGTTGTCTGTCCCTGTGTGTTGGCCCTGCGACAGACTGGCGACCTGTCCAGGGTGTACCCCGCCTCTCGCCCTATGACAGCTGGGATAGGCTCCAGCACCCCCGCGACCCTGAAAAGGATAAGCGGAAGCGAATGGATGGATGGATATTTTTAGTCAGTATATTGATATATTAATGGGAGGAGATGGCCTCATGGTTGTGTGTTGCCCAGTTTTGGGGAGAGCCACGTCTGAGAATGTTTTGCCATCAATTGGCGGTAAATTAAAAAGAAATTACAGCATATATTCTATAGCAGCAGCAGTTTTCCTACTACCTACATCCTGCTATAGAGAGTGTATTCCTTTACATACTTAACATTTAGCATGACTCGCTAAAAGGTTTCATATTTTGACAGGAATGATCAAAAAGAAAAGAGTCCACAGGCTGATGAATTAAACAACACCATTTTTAGGCATTTAAATGAAATGCATAGTACAACTTTATCATATTTTTGGACTGGGTTGTTTCCAGGGACATGCCAGACTGTAGTTTTCCATGCTCCATTTGTGTTTTTCATTTTATCACCTGTTGTTTTGGAACATTAATTCGTTCATCTACCTCAAAGCCAATAAAACCCATGGGGAAACCTGATACTCACATTTGACGGGGGTGTGTATGTGCCCTCACATGTTTGTGTTTGCAAGGGAATATTTAAGCGCTGACATTATCATATGACTAATTCTAATATTGTTTTTAACATGTGGGTGTTGGTTTAATGGTATTGGTTTTAGGGTTTTCAAATTCAGATGATAATGGAGAGTGCGTGACTGAGGGTTGGATTTGTTGTTTATGCCTGTTTATGCCTTGATGTTGCGTATGTGCATGCACGATCATGCTTGAGCCAGAGGTGAATCACTATTGTGTTTACTCCAAGGTCTGTTTGTGCAGAGTGACCCAAGCTGCACAGTCATTTTGGTGGAGGTGTATGTTAGTTTATATCATTTGGACAGCAGGATTTCCCCAAGCCTAATCTGGATTCTCCTGCAGGTTGTTGAGGAGTGGGAGGCTCTGAGGTGTCTGTTAAGAATGATGCATATTGAGAGGATGTCTGTGGGCAGAAACACCTGGACGCATTAACATTTAGACAGTATTGTATGTGTAGGTGTGTGTTTTTAGTGCTTGTTTCTTTGCAAGATCTAAATCGGGGGTGGGCAAGTAATTTTTTCAAGGGTCCACATGAGAAACTGGAACTGTTCTGCTCAATTTTTTTTTTTCTCTAGGGAAATTAAATTATCTACCAATGATCTAAAGGATAATCCGCTCCTTCCCACCAAATATAACCTCATGTAAAAAAGAGACTTTCAGTTCTGGAACATGTTCACAGTGTTTATTTAGACACTTATGCTATTCACAGTACTCAAATAAGGCTTTGCCAAGTCTTATCTGGGTCTTTATTGTTCTCTGAGAGAGCAAGCTTTGGTCCCTTGGAAAAAAAAAAATCCGCCTTGAATTCTTGATCCGCTAGCTTTGAGGGCTATAAATGGTTCATTTTGTCCTGGGTCACTGGGCAGAAAAAGTCCTCTGTTAGAGTTTTTTTTTTTTTTCCTCCATGGATCACTGTAAATAAAGACATTTATGAAGCTTTAGTTGAGGTTGTGCAATTCAGCTCCTCCAAGGACACACACTTTATTGAAACACCTTCTTTTTTCTGTGAAGTGGGACAAAACATAAGCTGCGGTTATTATGAAAGCAAGGCTGCTGAAACTTTGGAAAAGTGGGCCAGGTGTCTACTTTGAAGAAGCAAGTTACATCACACACTAAGCTGTCTAAGGCGAAAGGGGGGATTGATGTGTTCACCAAAGTTCACAGTAAACCATCCACAACCATTTGCTGCTAATAATAATTCAGACTGGACATAGAATAGTTAAACTAATCAGCATGAACTTAAATATCCCTGTCTGAATAATCTTAGTTTCTGGGAATCATGTTAATGGAATATCACATTCTTCATTTGATTCATCCCTTTATCACCCACATGGTTGGCCAGAGTGCTTTTTTTAGCCACATATAACCATGTGGGGTTCTTTACTGCGCTGTTTTAAAAGCTCTTCCTGAATTGACTCATAAGTCAGCAGCCTGTGCAGAGCTTGAACAGGGCTGTTTATAACTTCACTGTCTAACACCCAGAGCCATTCACATAATCACGCAGGGGCTAAAAGCCCAGAACAATATGGACTCCACAAAGACACCAACAGTTCCTCAACCACCAATTTAAACACCTGTAGCAATCTGTATATTTGCATAGAGACTGTTATAAAGAAAAACCTCCACTGTCATTGGAGATGTTAAGCATGCTTATTTGTGTGGTTTGATATTTTGCTTTACAGGCGACCTATCGACCTTTCCTGCGGCAGATTCTAGAGGAAGTCTTTCACCCTGATCGACGTGAATGTCCTGACATCGAGCACATGTCTGGAGGTCTTACAGACCTGTTGAAGACCGGCTTCAGCATGTTCATGAAGGTTAGACATTCCTCACAAACACTTATATGCAACAGAGTCAGCTCTGTCGCAGAAGAAATTACCTGATTTGAGTTATTTATACTTAAATTGGATAAACTGTTAAGAAAATGTATGAATGGACGAATACATAAAAGATTAAATATGGAAACTTTACAACTGGGTTACATTAGTACACATGGCTCTGGTAACATGCACTCTCTGAAGGCATCATTTATACTGAAATGTGCATGCGGAACCTGCATTCCAGACATTTGGTATACTGTGAAACAGAAAATCCCAATGTAGATCCCAAACTGTCAAGCCACTGAAAGCCGATGTCAACCCTTTACCATTCACTTTCACACTAAAGCAATTGATTTCTTTGGTTGCTAAATGACTGCAGTTATAAAAAAGAAAGGTCAGTCTTCACAGTGATAAACATGTCGTACCATATTCCTGTGCCAGTTTTTACCAACATGTTGCTAGCATCATGTTCCAAATAAACTATCAGTTTTTCAGCTTCCGCTTTTTATTACGATGTGTTTGTACTTTGTTTATAGTCAAATATAGATTTTAAACAAATTTTCATTTAAATCTTATATTGCATCGCAATTTTTTGGATATGGCAGATTTCAGAAATCCCACACAAAGCTGAATGAAATGACTATACTTTTTGGACAAAAATCAACCCTTTAGAGGATAAACCGCCAAACTAATACTTTTTATACACATTTTCAAAAGTGTTTGTGCTGTACCTCAAGTCTGTTATACATATCAACCAGTGATATAACTAGAAAGGGTTTGCTGACTATTTTTCTTGATTCCCAAGAATGAGACATCTTTATTGTATAACTGGTAAAAATGAGTCACTTTTTGGGAGCTCATTTGAAGAAAATCAGAGATTACTGATGAAAAAGCATGAAGCCTTATAGTCTGTGGAGATGAATATCTTCATGATATTCCAGTGCCTGTCACCTATGGGTGATTTTTGATCTCTGGGATCTATATGTGTATTAGCCTCATCTCCACAATGTTTCCAGCCTAATGGCATTACATTTGTCGACAGTGTTGGGGTACTTAATTAGTTTCTTTAATTCCTTACTGCTTTTCTATTACTCTTTAACTCTACAAGATGTACTGTTATGTAATAACTACTTAACAATATAAATGTTATGCTACAGTGCAACACACTGGCATAAACCAACCCAAAGAACGCTTCAGTGATTTTGTTGTAGAAAGTTGTACTGGTAGAAATTGATGCTACAATATTACAAGCCTGGCTTGTAGTTAGTATCTTGCCCAAGGATACTTGACATGCAGACTGGAGGAGTCAGGGATCAAACCAGCAACCTTCCGATCAGTAGGTGACCATAATATGTATTATACGATTTTTTTTTTAAAATATCTGTGATATTTCTAGGATATCTAGGATAGCAATGAATTTGCAACTTTTGCAGAAAGATTTGCAGAAAAAACACATATGAGAACTGAAACTGTTGTCTGCCGCCGTACCCCAACGTTTTTGCCTGGATCTGGTCATAAAGCCTTCAAATTGGATATCCAGCTCACAGTAGAAGCTATGCCAGGTCACTACTTCAAAGAATCACATTTATTTTAAGGCAGAAAATAATCCTCAGATGACAGCAGCACAGTATGATATTGAGGCTCTTAAAGAGCAAGACCTTAATGGGAACCGAAACAGAAAAGAAAGAAGTAATGCAGTTGGATTTGCAAAGTTTAATTGTTAAAAGTCGTTGATAATTGGCTTATTCTTTCATTATTCTTTCATTATTTTAGCACTAGTCTGAGTTTTTTTTTTTCTAACACTATGCATAATGTACATTTCCTGCAGAGTGGATCACTCTCCACAGTCTGATTGTCTCACATCTGGGCCCGCTTAAACTGATGATTACCCAGAAGGGAAGGAATTAGACAAGTTGTGTAACTGTGGCCCGGTTTCACTCAAATTAAGAAACTTGGCTCAAGAACCACCAAGTCAGACAACCTAAACCTATAAAACTGACCTTGTAGTCTATAGGAGCCCAGTGCACACCCTTTATGCCATAAAACACCTCCTATAAAACTTCTATTTTCAGCCAAAGAGTTTACTGTGAACACAGTTTACATTATTAAAACACAGTGGACCCTGCTGTCTGGACCGTGACCTGCTGAAAGCCTGTGCAGTGTTGTTTCAAACTGTCATCTTAAACTGTCTGTAACCAAATTATTTGTGTGTCTGGTGTACCATATTTAGTCTTTGTTTAAACAGAATCCCAGTTGTACAAGCGATCTTGTAATGTTAATGCAACCATAGTTCTTGCCTATGACTGACACCAGAGAATCACAGAGTGATTTATCTTGCACAATTTACAAATGCAAATAGTGCATGGAGGAGAGGAGAAAGTCTGGAGTGGTCAAAACAACAACACTTGTATTTTATAGAACAACGTTGTTGCTTGACTGGCGCGTTTCAGCTTGTAGCCTCATCATGGTCGTCATCTGATAACCCTGATGACCTTATCGTGTTGTACAAGCCATAAAGTTGTTCTGTGTGCTACAAGTGTAGTGAAGACTTTACTTCTTCACTTTGTGTAGATTGAAATCTGCTGTTTGTGAGCACCCTGCAGCTACATTTTATCAGAAATCTGAACGGTTTTTGTGATAAAGATAAGGACATCTTTATTGATCTCTGCAGGGGAACGTTTTTTTTTTCCCTTTATTAGAAGCATTTAAATAAACTCATCAGAACAGAAAATCCAAAACAGTAAACGTTTGATTTTCTGCAGTTAAGTTCGGGGCTCGTTTGTGAAGGGTTTCCATTATTTCTGCACATCAGATTGCTTCTTTACTTGAATTCTCTGACAAGCAGAATAGATAAACTAACTGATCCTATTTTGTTTTGGTTTACCTATTAATGGTTACCAGATGTCAAAGTGGAAATCTTAGCCCAGAGGGTCCATCTACACTAATTAAGCATAGTGTTGATTAGTTAGTTAGCAGGACAAGTCAAGCTAAGGCATCAGTCACAAAGGCTTGGAGACCACTAAGCAACCACTTATTAACATCTGGTTGCTAGACAAAAATGTGCATTAACCAAGTGGTTGCTGGAGTTTGCCTGCCGCAGCTGAATGAAACTGGGTGCAAACAGGATGCTTCACCAAAAACCTCTTTGTGATTTCTCTGTTTGCTAGCAGACTGCTGCAGTCACATGTAGTTTGGATGGATGATACCATCTTGATGCCAACATATTACTAACCAAGCAGTAGTGAAACTTGAGAAATGTAAACCTAAAATGGGTTTATATTAGTGCTGTCAGCGTTAATCTCGTCAAAATGATATTAGCGCCACGTTAGCGAGCTAACCATGCTAACGTCGTGCAGCCCCACACTCTTGGGCACACATGCGCTAACTCAGTAACGGAGATTTGGTGCGTTAATGCAGTTATGGCGCTAACGTCATTTTAACGAGATTAACGCTGAAAGCACTAGTTTATATCCATAATCCCAAAAAAGTTTTATTTTTGCTTAATAATTTTATATATATTTATAGATTTTTTTTCTAATTATTCAGTTGATATTTGCCATGATTCTGTGTTTTGTGCTCATCTTTGTGTTTTTATGGACTGCTTTAAATTGAACTAAACTCAACTTCATTAATTTTTTTTATTAAAGAAATTAATAGCTGGTGTCTAGCAAAAGACAGAGGCAGATAATGTTGAGAATTTTTTTTTTTTTGAGAATTCACATTAAACAGTTTGGTGAGTGGCATTGTAGAAGAAGTCCACAGATGATGTCTAAAAGTATGTTTTCTTTTCCTCAGACACACTCTGCACCACATTTCAGCTCACAGCCCCTCCCTCACCATGTGAGGTTCAGATCCAGGGAACACACTAGTGGGGATTTACTTACACATGGGGATGCCATGTCTGCATTGTTTAGAAGTCCCACCAGATCTGCCTAGATGTACAACATACAGCTTGAGCTGAGCAAGTTCCCAAAATTTCCCATGAACACATGTTGAATCATCCCTGACATGCTTTATCCCAGCCTGCTGCTGCTTCACGTGGATAGCCACTCTCTCCTTAGGTCCACCCCCTGCAGCTCTGATTGCTTGGTTAGCATTCACAGGCTCGTCCTGACCGCTGCCCGCTGACCAATAGTACAAAGCCATTGCTCACCACCATAAGCACCAGACATTACCTGGTGTTAAAACAGCATTTTAAATGACAGTTAATAATGTGCTAGCACAATTTTTTTTATATCAGTCTGTGAGATGCGCCCTGACACAGGTGATGTGGGATATTTAGGTGTCTGTGTGTTGTGTAAGTGTGTGTGTAGAGCTTACATGTCCACGTGTTAGCCATCATGACACCAGTGTGAGGAGACGTCTCACTCCGAGTGTTGTTAGCAGGTGCACTGTGATCAGTGGCACCACGATATCACAGGAATCCAGCTGAGAGGTGACTCAGCAATAATACATAAGAGGTGGCAGAGGTGTTATATAGAAAAGAGATGATATAAAGTGTTCAGTGGACAAAAATATATGTTTATTAAAGGAAGGAAAGAAGCAGCATAAACAACTCCAGTGGCCTAAAAATACCTGTCAAAATGTCTCGTCTTAACTCCAGGTGAGCCGTCCACATCCTGGCGACAACCCTCTGCTCCTCCTCTTCATGGTTGGTGGAGTCACACCATCAGAACTTCGTCTCATCAAAGAGACTGTTGCCACACACAGACCAGGGACCCAGGTGAGTCTGTGGCCTGTCGCTGTCAGGTGACGTTGCTCTTTCCCAGTTCTGCTTCCAGTCCAGTTCAATAATTGGGGAAATGTTTTGTTCAAACTACAAATGGCTTCACTGGTAAAATTAAATGAAACACATTATGTTTTAAAGCAGAATTGAGATCCATGCTAGCAAGCTTTACCTGCATGCTTTAACCTCAAGAATGAGCACTGAAATAACTTTTACCGTCATATCACTTAAAGTGATGCCATACAAAGTGATTAAACTTACAACTAAAAATATAGTTTCATTTAATTCAGAAACCTAATGCCTAAGCTCCATATTTTGCTTTATGTTGAACTGTTTATAGTAATATACACTGAATGGACACTTTATTAGTGGACGGGTTTGAGATGTTAACTTGAAAAGCTAACAAAATATATCAGAATATGGATACACTGTGGCTATAAAGGGATAGACATGGTCAGCAACAAGATAGTCTGCGGGATTTAAATAATTCTCAGTTGGCACTAAGGGGCACAGAGTATACCAAGAAAACATCCCCTACACCACTACACCATTGGATCCATGCTTTCATGCTGTTTATTCAAAATTCTGACTGTACAATCCTAGTTTCATGTTTTTAACTGACAGAAGTGCCACCCGGCGTGTTCTTCCGCTGCTGTGGCATATCTGCTTCAGCATTCAACATGTCATACGTTTAGAGATCCTCTTCTGCACTCTGGCTATTTTCCTCTGACTTTAGGCATCAACCAGCCTTTTTTATGAAGAGAACTTTGGTTCACTGGATATTTTCTCCCTGCCAGATAATTCTCTGTAAACCCTAGAGATGGTTGTATGGGAAAATCGCAGCAGATAAGCAGTTTCTGAAATACTCAGGCCAGCCTGTCTGGCACCAGCAACCATATAATCACCTTTCTTCCCCATTGTGATGCTTAGTTTGAACTTCAGTAGGTTATCTTGGCCATCTCTATTTGCCTAAATGCTTTGAGTTGCTGCCATGCAATTGACTGTTTAGATATTTGTGTTAACATAGAGTTGAACAGGTGGGCCTGTTAAAGGTGCTAGTGAGTATATATTACATTATATTATATTATATTATATTATAGCTATCCAAGCTTTGTTACCCTCTCCTGTGACAAAAGCCACTGGTGATATAAAAGATTATTAGAAATTTAACATTAACAGTATCAAGCAATCCTTAAGTTCCATACTCAGTAGTATCTGCTGAATTTCAAGCAAAGACTGACTGCATGAGCAAACATAAGTACTGACCTACATAAACAGGTGGCTCTGATCAGGCATAAAGGTGAGCATGTCATCTGATCTTTACACCTTTTAATACACTAATTGCATACACAAGATGTTGAGTCTGTCTGCCTGTCTGTGTGTTTGGGTGGTTTGAGTGCTTATTGCATATGCAATCAACACTAACACACAAAACATGCAGATGATGCATTTCCTCTGGATGAGAGGAGTGCAAGAAATACGCGAGGGACATGAGGCTCGTCTTAATAAAAGGCTTCGAGAAAGAGGCCAGAGGCAATGAAAGGCTTGGCAAAGATCAAAGCCCCCCCATCTGTAATCAGAAGAACTGAATAAAGACCAGCTTATATAATAACCTGCAGGGCCACACGCACTCTAACCCTTACACAGAGATGTGCTCACACTTTATGTGATGTGTTTGGACCAGACATTCATGAGTATTTACACTGAAAACAAACAGCGACGTTTTGCTTTTGCACTTGGATGTAATTCATCTGAAATACAGTCACTCTGCCACCACAAACAGCCACTGCTGTTCTAGGCAGTTAAGGGCGCAGAGTTAAGTCAACGCTGCTGCAAAGAAACAGGGCTTCTCTGTTATACAACATCAGAAGAGGTCTGCAGAACTGTAGGAGTGCATACTTCAGCTAAAGCCGTTCAGCTGTGTACTTCTGTCATTTTAAAGTTACGTTTTTGAAAGCTGCATCTGAATCCAGAGCTGCGTAAGAGAAAACAACCACTGATCCAACATCCATTACACTACCAAACAAGAATTTGGACAGGCGCAAGGTAAAAATGATCAAAAAGCAGATATGGGTTAATGCAGTAAGCAAAAAGACAGACCTTATAATGCCTTATATTGCACACTACTGGCAATCGCTTCATGGGGTTGTCACCCGTAATGGATTTCATTTAACAATGAGCCTTATCGGAACTTAGGTCATACACAATAAGCTCTCCCAATTTGGCAATCTATGTAAGCTGCAAAATGTCCCACCTCTCCCTCTGACGGTTCAGTGCCCTACATCACTACCTCCTGTTTAAACCTGTCCAGCCAGAGCATTATCATTCCCAGTGCGTAACATATCAACGATTTGTCGTGCCCCTAGGCGTCTCATAGTAACGCTAAATGTACCCTTCTACGTCCTTATGAAACGCTTGCGGCTTTCTATTACAGCTCTGAACCTAACCTTAACACATTTATAGATTCATGCAAACCCGCTCTCATGCCCCTTGCTTCATCAGTTCCTAACTTCTATGTGTGTCTGAGCATAGACGCCACACTCTAACTGTATTCAGCTGTTCTGCTGTCAGTCATAGAAAACTCAGTTAAAGCAGTTATCATGAGAAACGCCCAAGAAAAGAAGACCAGGAGGCCGAGTTTATTTCTTATCATCTTTAAAGATCGACAATGACACCCAAGATTACGTATCAATGACGCATCAATGCTTTCCAGCATGTGAGTGGTATTTGCACCTTATCAGCCTCTGGGAGGAGATTGTGTTTCATGGTCCAACTGCTGTAAAACAGCTTCTCCACAACAACAACAACAACAACAGTCATCTTAGTCATCGCACACACACCTCATATCAACTGCATTTTTAACAGATATGCTGCAAAGTATTAAAGATCACAAAACACACAGGCTCACAAAGCAGTGTGATACTGTGTTGATGTTGAATTTTACTGAGCATATTTTACAATCTTATTGAGCTTCTTATTAACTGAAAAATGTGACGGGCAGCCAAGCGGCCAGCCATCCAAATTCACCCACAAGTAAAGCCTCACACGTGCTGCACAGCAACTGGATGCACTTGACATAATTCCTGCATTTTCTATTTCCATCTTTCGCATCCAAACCTGTGCCAAAGTTTACGTGAAAATAAATAAATAACGTTTCTGGATCGACGCTGTAACTCTATCCTGTGCTCATTCAGCTGTTGCCTAACTTTCAGTGCTTTTATTCTTTACATACCTGCAAAATGATTTTATAAAGCTTTTTGTCAGTAACGTACTTATAAAGTAAAAGTTATGGCAGGATTGTATTCGTTCCCTATGTCTGAATGAACTTACTGAATTATTCCAGTCATATTTATTCTCCAAACTAAATGTATGGATAACTGCTGTCTTTGATTTAACATCACCCTTACAAAGACTTTAAAATGAAAAGATCAACTTTGGTTTGTGAGTCACCAACCAAAACATCATTTGTTTGATACCTCAAAAAAAAACCAAAAGAAGCCAAAACCTTCTGAGTACTACTACTTAACAAAATAACCCACCTACAACAGAAACTGATTCACGCAGCTCTTGGATTTCCACCTTGCGAATTTCTCAACATGTGCTTCATTTATAAGTGTCGGCTTGCACATGTTGACATCCTTTGTTCCCCACTCCAGGTGCTCGTTCTCTCCACCAGGTTACTAAGACCGACAGACATCCCCGAGCTGCTCTTCGGCACCCAGAGACTGGTACCTGATATCGGTGTGTAAAAACGGAAACGCAGGTGTTAACACGCGGATGAACACATGCACCTCGAACATCTAAACACTGAGGTGTGAAGAGGGCATGAGAAATTAAAATGGCGTGTCAACAGACGACATGCAAATGAAGCAACATTCCTGTTCTGTAAAAAGCCACCTCTCTAAGCGTGAGGCGTAAAATTCCATCAAATGTTAATATAAAGCAATAAAGTCACTTTTCAGACACCCATGTGTGATGTCTTTTATTTGCATATATACACAGGACACAAGAGGTCAAGTTAGCTGTTTAAAGCAGGCCTCTGTGTGTGAACCCATTAGAAGTGTTAACAATGGACAGCATGCTGTTGTGGCCGGAAGAATACACACTCTCTGTTAACATCATCCCATCGCAAACATCATATGGTGACAAATAAGACCAGGATAATTAACAAAGCCTTTCACACTGCCTGCCAAGGCCGATAAATTGCTCACACTTAGACCTCACCTCCACCTTCCATCCCTCCCACTCTCCCGTCTCTCTTTCTCTCCAACATGAATCATCACAGCTAAAGCTCAGAAATTCACCCACAACTGGGGCCGTTCTCGAATCTCCCTCATTTTGTCAAACACAGGTGTAATTCAGCAAATCCTCGTCTGGCAGGCTTGAACAGAATTCCCTGATTAGGTTCTGAATTGCCAGTAAAATGATGCAATTGCATGTTTTAATGGCAAACTGTTTTAATAGAATTTTCACCTCATCTTTGGGACCGGTGCAGTTGTTCGAGGTCTCTAATGAAAACAAGGTCAGCTCTGAAAGAGGGGGGGGGGGAGAGAAACCCATAAGGATTTGGCTGCAGTCGCATCAGCAGCTTCATTCTTTAGTCAAAATACTTTTTGGGAGGTCAAGGACTGCACAGAGCTTTTAATTTTAAACAGCTCACAAGATCTGTGAAGTGGCTGTACAGTCATGCTTCCATTGTGTCCATGCTTTTCATCACTAGTCTGATATCTAAGCCTTTTTAAGAATTGCTGTATTCATGGGTCAGACTACCTTGTTCTGTGTGCGTCATCTGCTCCCAGTATGAATGCAGTTTATTAGTGTTACAGTCCCAAGGACATGAGTAACTCAGAAGTTCTATAATCTATTGTTTGTAAACTTTATTCCACACCCAGTGAAATGCACACATGCAAAATGAATAACGCTCCAGAGACATTTTATTGGAAGTTCTTAATATTTTTATTATGAAAAAGAACTTGTAACAAATAAATAACAATAGGCCCTTTGGACTCTTTTTAATAAAGTGCATCAGTGATAATCACCAACACATGCTACATAGTGGCTGCTACCCCACAAGGATACTTCAACCCCCACCCTTCCCTCACTCATCAATCATGCACGATGATGCTTTTGTAAGTTGCAAAAAATAAACTGCAGATATTCAAATATGAGAGTGAACACACCGAGAGCTGCACTGAGACCCAGCTTAAGTGGCTGGTATAATAATGCCGGCGTTCAGCCTTGATGAAGTGGCAGTCTGAATAAAGAACAGCCACAATAGGCACAGTACAGCTAAAAATAAGCAGTCCTTCAGAGCGGTTGTTGCCAGGAGGGCTTTATGTACAATTTTTATATGCAGTTTTTAGTTCTCTCAGCTTCAATCGGCTGTTTCTGTCCTCAAAGGGAAATTTTCTCCCCCTGAACTGCTTCACCGCTGCTCTTTGCGTCATCTGACAGGACAGACTCCATCTCACCAAGACGCCATTTATCTCTGCAAAGATTCATCTGCCTCCTGCTATACTGTTCATATCACACCAGCTGAACTGGAGCAGGACTTCACTGGAGAAGCGTGAATCTTCAGTCCTCTTTTCCAACGTTTAGTACTTTCTGTGGCTACTCTCAACCACTTTCAGCTTGTAGCGCTCCTCACACTGAGGTGACAGTCCGGACTTTGGCAGACAGCGCCTGCTTGAAGCGCCTCTTCAGATCCTGCATATTGGGAGACTTTGGTCTGGGGATGAGGAGAGAGCGCCTCTTCTCTGTGACACCACTAGCAGAGGTGGGTGGGGAGCTAGAGGCAGGGGGTGGCTGCTTGGCTAGCTGGCAGCACAGCCTGTGGAAAGCCCCGTGTACCTGGTTGTAATCCTCACTGGCAGATACTTCATAGAAGGAGCAGCCCAGGTTTCCAGCCAGAATGGGACCTTGCTGGGAGTCGACTCGCCTCAGGTGCAACAGGTCTGCCTTATTGGCCAGCAGGATTACTGGGGGCATACTGGCACCGCTGCTGCGAACAACCAGCTGGTGCAACTGATCGATCAAATCAAAGCTGCTGCGGTCAGTCACAGAGTACACCAGCACCACAGCATCCGCCCACTGAATGGAGCAGGTCACATGGTCAGGTAGACTGATGCCATTATCTGTCATCTGGGGGGTGAAAAAGAAAAAAAAGACAATGATTAAAACACAACTTCCTCTGAAAAACATTTCCAGCATTCTTGTTCTGATGCACAAAATCAATCAAATTTCAGGAAAGATTAAATGTTCCTCATTTTATGAAACTGAGCTTTTGTAATGTCTGGAATGCCAGCTGAGGCAGACAAAAGCTATAGGATTACTCCTCCAGAAGAGAGGTGTGGGTGATTGAGAAGTCTGGATGTGGATCAGGGTATCATTTACTCTGGCCCCAGACATCCATTAGCTTAAATGGAAGATTAGACAGGCAAAACAAAGGGCTCTACTTCAGGAGGAAAACAGACATGCTCGGTTTTGGAGCAGTGCCTGCAGACGCTTAGATATTTTTTTTTAACCAGACGGTTATTTTGTCCACTCTGTTACCCTCCAGTCAGCCCAGACAGATTATAATATGTCCCTTTCTGCTCACCTCGGCACCAGGAGTGTCCTGTACTTGGATGGTCACTTGCTCTCCATCCACCTGGACTTCTCTGGAGTAGAGATTACCTGCACATAGGAGGAACAAAACCTTTAGTACCCCAAAAAAAAATAATTAGCTCAATTTTAGCTTTTTCCATTCATAAAAATACAGATATTCAACTTACCAGCATTTCTCTCGTAGTCTCCGATGAAGCGTTTTGTTAGGAATCTCACCACGAGTGCTGAGGAGAAGCGAGAAAACAACATTAAACATATACGTCAGAGTATACGTTACCTACAATGTTTGCGTATTTTTTTTCAGTTTCCTCTTACCTGTCTTCCCCACACCGCCGCCTCCTATAACGGCTATTTTAATGACCCGGTTGGGGGCCGAGTATTCAGAAGCTGGATACTCCGCTATGGTTGTCATGTTCTGGATGAGGCGCATTGTTTTTGCCCGTCAGCTCAGTCAAAAAGCGAAAAAACAATCCAAAGCAGAGACGAAACTATTTTCGAGTCCAAGTATAAAGCGAGCTTTTAAATAAAGTGAGTTTAGTAAATTCCGTTTTCCTCGCAAAGTGGTTCGGTGGTCAATTATTTTCTTCTTGTAAAAACCCGGAGGGAAAAGTCAAAACAGTCTTTAGAAGGAGAAGCTGCGAGTAAATGCTGGCGCAGAGGAGACCACGGAGTTTTTATAGCGCTCCAGAAGCGGCCACATCTGATTGGGTGTCGGTGATCCCCCCTCCTCCTCTCCTCTCCTCGTGCGTCCCCGCCTACACGTGGATGTTCAAGCTATCCTCAAGCAGGAAAGCTTTTGCAACAGGTGAGACCTCTGTCTGGGTGTTCTGATCAAATATCCTTTGTTTTTGAACGGGGAAAGGTTGTCTGTCCTCTGCAGGTATGTCACTATGAATTACACAGATTTGGGAAAGAAAACGACATAAACAAAGCTTTAGCTGTGTGGTGAAATATCGTGACAGGTTTCCCCTAAATAAACAACAAATACCCCGCATGTATAAGAGCCATCGTTACCAGAAATCCTTGAAATTCAACCCACTACTTTTATTTATGTCTTAAATACGATTTTTATATCGTATTTTATTTCCTATTCTGTTGAATGCACACGTTGCTGTTCAACCTCCCAGCCTGTGTTGTGTTGCGTTGCAGCTGGTGACCTGTTAAGACATGCCCCTAAACTTGTCCACACAGGGGGTTAATGGCTGTTGATGTTGCATCAATACACCCCCTCCCACACATCATACACATTCACGCATACCTTACAGAAACTCATGCAAGCGTATGCGCTTCATCTCAGTCATTTTAGTGCCAGCTGTGCCACTAAAGGTACACATTTGTGCACAAGTTACATGACAAGTTCAATTTGAAGCTGCTCTCCATTGTGATTTAATCCATTTTAGCTTTTTTTTTTTGTCCCATTTTTCTTTTGCCTCCTGTCATACACCCCTCCCTTCCTCCTTCTCCCATCTTTCATTTATGCTCATGTGCTCTGAGGTATTTTGGCATCCAGTTCTCCTGCGCCGTGATTACGGTCTGGTATGTATTTTTGATAAGAGTGCTGATGACAGGCAGCTGCACTGAAATATGAAATTAGTGCCCATGATTCACAAGCAGGCATCATTGCAAGGTGTACACACACACACAGCTGTTCATTTTAACCACATCACAGCCGATGTGATGAACTCCACCCTGGCTGTGACGCTAGTGCCTGTTTTCTTGCTAATAGTGCATAAATACTGTATTTACATTTGATGGCATGTATGCAGGATTTTCTGGAGTTCACCCCCACGGCTCAGTGCAGGGCTTTAGTTAAACATAAAGCCCAAGGTTTGACCTTTTTAAGTGAATGTTTTGAGTGAGGTGCAATTTCATAATTTTAGCCCACACACCAGCACATTTGTAGCGCAGAACAATTAAAAGCATCACTGGTGCTCTCTCCTCGACATCAGGGGAGAAGGCTAATGATGACAGATAATAAAACGAGGATGTTTGTGGGGGTGTTTTTATTTGTTAGCCTAATGGATAGCCAGGGTTCACTCTTTTGACACAATCAAAAATGGTGAGTGACTCACATCGGTAGGCAAAGCAGGTTGTTAACACGACTTTAAACTGTTTTGTGAATGATACATTGCACCATAACTCAGTCTGTATGAAAAGCATTTATCCCGACACGAAAGCACAGTGACTGCAGTAAAGTGCACTCTCTGTGTTGTTGTTCCTTTCTGCTTCTTAGAGGCAAATTAATGCCTTTAAGTGAAAGATATTTATAACTACAGCAAAGCAGTGGAGGGCCTGTTATAGGGATCAGGGTGTCACTCACATAGAGGTGACAATAGATGGTTATAAAGGGTAGAATGGGGCTAATCCTTTAGTTGTGGTGTGGGCAATTGTCAGAGAGGATTTGAGGTATTCATTGCAAACGGAGGAATGTGGAGTTAATTGGGAGGGGAGGGCAGTCAAAATCTGGAGGGGAGGAGGGTGGTGTTCGCAGAAGGATGTCCTTGTTGACACAGAAGTGTGGACTGATTTCCCAAGGTGGCTTCGCCTTTTGCAGTAAAGCTGACAAGAGGCAGCCTTCACTTTGCCCGGGGCACGAGCCCACAAAAGAGGGTCATTTGGGATGTTAGAGAAGCACAGGCCAGGTTAAGAGGCTTTCCAGAGCCAAATCTTATAAGACAGTCATTTTGTAATGTCAGTGAATTGAAACAGGGTTTAAAACTGGGATTCTTCAAATTTTATTAAATGAATGACAGTTTAGGGAGCCAGCTTATACCTGAAGGCTAGACAGGGGGGAAATGAATTTCGTAAAAACAATAATGAATGTCTGTTTAGAGGATGGTGGTTTATTCTGTCAGCTATCAATTGTGTGTCAAGTTATAGTCTTTGAAACAGTGAGGTTGATGGCACATTTCTTGACACTAGCTGTATCGATCTG